AAATGGACGCTAGGCGTAGTCTCACCTGCAAGCAGGTGAGCGACCACTACGACCATCACGTGGACCCACCGCTGACACCCCTACACCCCACCACCACCACCACCACCACCACCACCACCACCACCACCACTATATTCTACTCCTTTCCTCCCAATACCTCGGACGTTTTTCGTTCATGTTTTTACGTTCATGCTGTTCGCTGCCCATTATTTGCTCTCAAACAGATGCTGATTTGGTCAACCTATGGCTCGGGACGCGTCTGCTGCTCGAAGGATCAATCCAGGTCGCGGAGTTGTATACTCTACTTGGGACTGTGAAGGAGGCTCGTGCCTACCAACTTGAGCTTCTGCGAGTCGCTCAGCGGTTTCACATCCCGTCCTGGTAAGTGCACAGCATACAGTTCCTGGGAATAGAAAATCTAGCACTTTGCCCCCACCTGACCTAAACACATGAAGTTTTAACCTTTTTTACTTACACAATCGAACTTCTTTACATAGGGTCCGGTTTTCTCTAGTTGACAATACCTGCATCAGTCAGATCATTCGGGACCGTCAGCTTGGGTTTGTTTGGAGTAGGCAGCAATATTTCACTATCGATGCTGTCTTGCGACCTGTATTTTCAAGGTTATTGTAATCACCCACTTACTGGTAACGTACTCTGTGACACTTGATAGTTTGACCGTCGGTTTCGACGATATCCTGCACAGCAGGGTAGGAGCAGGGATGGTGACTTGTGCGAAAATTCAGTTTATAGTGATAGTAGACTTTTACAGCATCTACCACGCCCTCTCCTCCCCCCCCCCCCCCCCTGGACCGGGTGTCAAGACAGAGTCAAGAAGACTGGAGACGGGGAGGGCGCAGGTGGATGGCACGGTCGAGCCCGCACCTTGGCGTTCCACTCAACACCCCATAGTCCGTACAGCAAATAACCAGGTTTTTATTTAACAACAACAATGGGGGGGGGAGGTGGTAGGAGTCCCAGTGTGCGCGACGGCTGCCGGCAACCGGGTCGACCACCGCAACCCGAAAATTTTGACATTTGTTGCGGTGCGCAAAGCGGATACCACCTGCCAGAATCCGAGATGACCCCAGTTTTGGTCCGGCGCATCTAACACGTGGCCTGCTCTGGGGGCACCTGTGACACTTATTCGAATTACAACTACCTTTGCGTTTCTACAACCTCTCTTCTGGCCTCTATGCTGAAAAGAGTTTTGGCTTTTTTTGAGTCTCAGACCCTGTGACTGCTGTTTCTCTTTCAGTGCACAAACAGCTCTCTCCCTGATGGCTTATACCGATCTGCTGGCACAACGCAAGTGGGCTTTTGATCTGAGATTGAGTCAGCTCAACCACATTTCCTGCTCTAAGACATCGTTGTCCGAGATCCTGCGCACTCGCCGTCCGCCCGATCCGGCCAAAACAGGCAGTAGCCGAGCCCGCTCAAAACAGGCTCCCGAGGAGTCCAGTTTCCTGAGAACCCGTCGCCTTCAGACGGCTGCCCTTATCGGCTCCGCCCGCGCTCTGGACGGTGCTGATGAAGACGGTGATCCGGATAGTATGGCGATGAATCCACTGCTGAATGCGGCAGCAGGTGGTCTCTCAAACCTCTTCCCCACTTCACCAGTGAAGTCCACAATGCAGCTCTCCTCCGCGGCTGACTCCCTCTCAGCCGGTTTTCCCTCCCCGCGCGCACTGACTGCAGCCATTGAGTCCAACTCTCACTACGCCCATGGTGATGGCCACATGGCGCAATCAAGGCCGGGTCTTCTGAGTGCTGAGACTTGTGTCGCAAGGATCCTTTATGGCTCGCTCTGGCGGTGGTTGGAGGATGTCACGACCTTGGTTCGCGAAGAAGTCCTCGGCAGTAATCACTTTCTTCCTGTTTTGCTGCCACCAGTAACGGCGACAACAACGCCGCCGTCGCCAACCAACGAGTCTTCCCTAGGGGTAGGTTCCTTGACTGAGCATATTATTGGAGGGCTAGCGTTCCCCGCCCCCTAAGTAGTGATTTTTTAAGCATCCAATGATACGCTAGTAAACACGAGACAGTGCCTGTTTTTTTAAAGAAATTTGTACCATCCAGAGAGTAAGCATTTGCGGTCCAGTAGTCAGTGTGCTACCAGGACTTGGCGTGTTGAGGCCTCTCATATCACTGTGAAGTGACGACCACGAACTGTCGTTAAGTAGGTTCTCGTAGCAGGGGCTGCCTCGAGGTTAGGTTTTGAATCGCTAGAGGAGACATCTTTAGTAAGGCCGTCCGAGTGACTGTTGGAGACCCGCCCGTGCCTAGAATTATCAATAAACAATGGTAGAGGGGCACTCACCGGTAGTTCTTACGGAACGCACTCGTTCCGTTGTGCCTTATGAGCTCTCTCTCGAGCCCTACCAGCGGCCGCACGGTGGTGCAACCACTGACTGGCTGACGATGGCTAATAAACCAGAAATGGCCATTCCAGTCCCCCTTGTCTTTGTCGGTGATAACATTCAGCCTATATCATGCGCCGCTGTACGACTGCTGGTTGGGCTCGAGAGCGAGCCCGTAAGGCACATCAAAACAATAGAATTCCGAAATAACGATCGGTGAGCGCTCCCTCTACTATTACATATTCTTGATCGCAACCGACAAGACAAC